GTTACACATATCTAGTTCTCTTGAGAAATTGTGGATCTGAAAACTTAAATGTTTATCACGTTTGTACTTTGTTGGGTTCTGCTTTTGTTGTTTTGTTCCTTCTGTCTGGCTAAGAGCAAAAGGTTGGTGCCTGTAGTAATAGGATATCATAGGCTGGAAACACTAAACACAGAGCATACTATATGAAGTATGAGAACTATTTTGTGCAAATGCAGTAAAAGATTATGTGGGTCGTATAATGAAGGTCGTGCCTACTAGCTCGTTTTGCGTTGATCATAATACCATCTTTTTCATAAATGTGAAGTATGCATGGGTTGATAATCCACTGCATAAAGGATCGATCTGCATTGCATATTGGTTAATCTTGCCTTGACCACATGCATATCATTTTCTTCTCCAGGTTGTTTCTTGCCCATGTGCTTTGGGCCTTGCAACACCAACGGCAATTCTAGTTGGCACATCACTTGGTACAATTTCGACACCATGTGTTTTCATATAGATTTGCAGACGGGCATATGTCTATGTGTGTGTGTGTGTGTTTCTGTTGTAACTTTACTGGACATGAAGAAGTCAGGTTTTGCTCTAGATAAATTTAGTTGGACATGTGAAAGTTGGCCAAATCCTCATCTCTTCACAATGTTACTAATCTAAGAAAACGATGTTCACAGATATAAACTTTTATAGTATGTTCTTTCTAACCTTACTGCACATTATATTGCAAGCTTGGAGTTTGCGGATATCTCTGAGTAACTTCTTGTTGGTGCTCTTTATTTCTTGTAACCATTTTCTCAAATCTCTTGCAGGAGCAAAACAGGGACTTCTTATAAGAGGAGGAGATGTACTAGAGCGCTTGGCCGGGATAGACTACATCACCTTGGATAAAGTAAGCATTCAAGCTTGCACAACACAATACCTGCTCTTTTAGCTGCTGTCAGCTATCTGTGTAACAGTTGTCAGGGGATGACTATTCTGTAAAGTTTTCATTTTTTGACTTAGATATTTTCGACCTTCAGACAGGAACTCTCACTGAAGGAAGACCTGCTGTGTCAGCTGTTGCATCCATCGTACATGAAGAATCAGAAATACTTCAAATTGCCGCCGCAGTGGAAAAAACAGCTTCACATCCACTTGCAAATGCTATTATAGCTAAAGCCCAATCATTGGATTTGAATATTCCTAGTACAAGGGGTCAATTAACCGAACCAGGTTCGGGAACCTTGGCAGAGGTAGATGGGCTTTTAGTGGCAGTTGGAAAATTAAGTTGGGTTCAAGAGCGCTTTCAGCAAAAAACAAGCTTATCCGATGTGAAGAGACTTGAGCAGTCTGTGACACGTCAATTGTCAACAGAAGGCTTATCCTCAAACCACTCGAGAACGATTGTCTATGTTGGTAGAGAAGGAGAAGGCATCATTGGTGCTATTGCAATATCAGACAATTTGAGACGTGATGCCGAATCTACAGTAACTAGGTATCATTACATTCTTGAACCTAAACCATAATCAGCATAATGTAGGATCTTTAGTGTGCTATCCTAGATCAAGAGCTATTTCAATTATTAATGTTTTATCTGGACTAATGTATTAGAGTTAGTTTGCAGAAAGCCAGAACCATTGGTTATCATTACTGTTTTCTGATAGATAAAAAGATATCTGTATGTAATATTGTATTATATTTCCTTTTGGCTGAGTTTGTGAGGAGGGTCAGTTTTCAATTTCAACTTATTTTATTTTATAATTATTATAATTGTCAATTTTGGTTTCCTCGATCAAATGTGTAGGAGAATTTCGATTATCAAATGGTGAAAGCTTGGTATCCTTATAAGAACCGTAGGCATATCTACAGAGTTACTAATTTATATTTCTCTCTAAATTTTGAAAGGCTTCAGGGGAAAGGAATTCGTACAGTCCTCTTGTCAGGGGACAGGAAAGAGGCAGTTGCAACTGTAGCAAAGATAGTCGGAATAGAAAATGAATTTGTGAATAGTTCATTAACACCACAGCAGAAATCTGGGGTTATTTCACGTCTCCAAGCGTCAGGCCACCGTGTTGCTATGGTAATTGGCTACAGTATTTATTTTTACATAGAAATCTTTCATATGAACGTGAATAATGTATTAATTTGCAATATCAGCTATTTTAGAAATTAGGCTACTGAAGTTAACTTGTACTTATATAGGTTGGCGATGGCATTAATGATGCACCCTCCCTTGCTCTTGCTGATGTTGGGATTGCAATGCGAACTGAAGGACAGGAAAATGCTGCATCAAATGCAGCATCTATTATACTCTTGGGAAATAGACTGTCACAGGTGTGAATTTCCCTTTTGTTATGGCATCCCGTCATTATCTTCCTGTATTCTATCGATAAATGGAAAATGTCATTTCCAAATGGTTATGCATATTATGGATGAGGTTAAGTAACATGAAGATAAAAAGCTGCAAAAAATCATTTTACTCATCCCCACTCTTTTAAGCATATGCAAATAATACTAAAAATAAAAGTAGACTATAAGAATCACCATCAAATTTTAATATTATTTCAATTAAAAAATAAAGAAAAAGAAAAGGCATCAGTTTCCTTCAAATAAAAATTTTCGATGACGATTTTTATTTGCATAAAACAAAATAAAGTAGGGCAATGTCAAGAGACAAGATTTGTTTAACCCCAAGAATTATAAATAGATGAAAAAGTAGTTTTTGGATATTGGTGCTCAATTTTCTCGACTTCCAATTCCTTGAATCCACTTGGGATCTTTTGCAGGTGGTAGATGCAATCGACCTTGCAAGATCAACAATGGCCAAAGTTCGTCAAAATCTGACGTGGGCAGTTGCGTATAATGTTATTGCAATCCCCATGGCAGCTGGGGTGCTGCTTCCCCAATTTGATTTTGCCATGACGCCTTCTCTTTCAGGCACGTGCTCCACTATCTTTTTGCTAACTTCACATGCTTCTCAATAAGCAGACATTATTTTCTCTACAATTTTTAGTAATTGAATAGTCGTGTGTTTCGCGACATGTTTTTGTGTTCCATAGGGGGAATGATGGCCTTGAGCTCGATATTTGTAGTCACAAACTCACTGCTTCTGCAGTTTCACGGGACTCAGAAGAAGAATGAAAAGAGCAAAGCCGACGTTTATTCTCAATAGACAATAAATAATTATTCTGGTGAGATATCTAGTTTCTTTCAATTGTTCTTTCACTCTTTATCTCGTTGTTCTTTTCTATATTTCTTTTCAATGAGCTGAATGGCTATTTCTTTAGCATTCGTTCGAATAACGATGAAACACAAGGACTGAAGAAGTTTATAGAGCTATCCCACAATAATGTGCCCTGCACAGATAGGAATACGGGAATTTCTCTTTTGCTAAAACGAAGGTGCAGCCCTTATATGCAATTGGAATTTCGAACCCACTTGGTATACAAAATGTGAAATATTAATGGAGTGAATAAAATGGATATAGTAGGATTGCATGTGTGTTATATATTGTTAAGATTGTATATCTGCTAGACAACTTTGATTTTATGCCCTAAGATCTTGGTGGGTCTTGTTTTAAGCAGTTGCTAGTCTTGATGTTGTAACAATTTATAAATGTTAAGAATGTTGGGAAGATGATGATTCTTGTAAGCCTTAAAAGCTATTTTTAGCTCAATAAAATGGGGTTTCAAGTTTCTTGGATCAAACAATCAAAGACATATTTATTTGTAGGCCATTTCGCATGGTGACTNCTTATTGAATATAGTGATGCAATTAAGCTTTAAATATGCAACGTCAGCATTTCCGCTTTCTCGTTCCAAGAACTGCATTGTTGGGACTAATTAATTCCATTTTTTGCACTATAGGTTACGATAATTCCATTGTGAAAGTACCATTAGAAGTGGGAAAAAAAAAAGTGTTTAAGAGTATCTGTATCTCCAATTTTAGAGCATCCACAATGCTTTGGGTTCAATCACAAAAAATTGCATGTCACCTAATAAATAGACATACTAATCTAAAAAAATGTATTCTCCAATGCAAACAAAATTAGATTGGGTCCTGTTGACGTGGCAGCCAGAAAAAAAGACTGGTCTACTCTTAAGTCTATTTTAGACTCAAGCAGAGATCTAGTCTCTTTGCATTGGAGTAGATTTTATCAATTTTACATAGTTTTATCCATGTCATCCAAGACTTGAGTTTATTTACATGTCACGTAGACAAGACTAGATCCAATACATTGTAGATGCTCTTAGACATTTGCTTACACTGAATTTTGTACATATGTCAATCAATGAGTGGAATGTCAATCATCTCCATTAATGCATTCATTTGAATGGTAACACATATTTCATCTTTGNAAAAAAAAAAAAAAAACTTATATGCTATTACTCAACTATTAAACTAAATTTACCAAATATGTAAATCCACCGCACATCCTCACACTATGTCACCAACCCTAATAGTGTAGTATTCATTATTCTAAGTGGTAGGTTGATTCAATTGCTCCTCAAACCTCAATGTTTTATAACAGTTGTTGGGATGTTCGTTTGGTTAATTTATCCCAAAACCAAAAATTACGGCTTTAGTTGTTGATTATATAGGTTTCTTTTGTTAGCCCAAAACAAAAAATTACGGCTTTGATTGGAATTTAAGTTTCTGCTGGTTAATTTTATTTGTTACGAACATGAGCCTAAAAAGCAAAAAAAAAATATATATATATATATATATATTTAATTTAAATTATAAATAAATATAAGATAAAAAATACAATTATTAAACTTAATATAATATAACATGATAAAATACTTTCGGACTAATTGATAGTTCGACGTATATGGGTATCCAAATAATATTTTTTGTTTGGAAAAATATTGGAATGATTATTTTTATTATTTCCTTTTTACTATAACATTAGAATTTAATATTTATAGAGAAAATAATGAGATAAAATAAATAATAATTTTGTAAAAAATAATATTTCATTAATTTTTCAATTAAACATATTTTATTGACCATACAAAAATAAAATGTATAAAATTGCTTCTTGTACTCTACCCACATTTTACCTGGAGGTTGGACTGGAGTGCCATGCCCTGCATATATAGGACTATTTTATTACTAAAAACAAAGGAGACGCATGTCCATCTTTTTTAACTTTTTATTTTTATTATTCATTTTATTTGGGTTCCATATAACAAAAACTATTGATTCACGATTTGACAAGATTTTCAAATATATGTGCCATCAAATATAAGCAAAAAGTGCTCATAATATAAATATTACTTGTGTGTACGTTGACTCATAATCAGTCCCCTCACAACAATCATGAGTAAGAAGCGTTTGCGGTGCGTGTGCAATTGACTTGTGATGAACTGTATTTATTGAAAGTTATATGAACAATTAATTATAATCATATATATTGAAATTTCATATCCTCATTCCATTCTCATAAAAAAGAAAAAGAATGTTTCATGTTTATGGTCTGATTTTTATTTATAATATCGTGTTAGCGAATTGGGGTAGAAATAAACGGATTTATCTTCATTTGGAGATTCAACATGTTAAATGTGCTAATTAATTTATTCGATAAAAAATTATTCAATTAACTTTTTGAGCCCCAAAACGAAAATATAAAAAAACTTAATATATGAGCATTCTGATAAGAGATAATTAATTCGTAAAATAACGCAAAGACTTAAATAAAATAGTTATATAAAAAAACTAAACTAACAAATCATCTTTCAAACATTTGTGTGACTAGCATACTTGAACAAAATTAAAAGTCGGGTCTACAAACTACAACTTACAAATTAGAATGTGAATATCTTAATTAACAAATTATCAAATTTGGAACTGAAAATCTTGAAAGTTCATAAAGTTTTAACCATATACATTAAAAGTAATNATGGTACACATTTTTGTAACGTTTTTTTATGTCTTGAAATACAAAATATTTTTGTTTTTATTTTGATACTATATATTTTCTGGTATTATACAAGTACATATTTCACAACTAATTAAGAATGACTATAAATATCTCTATTTGCTATTGCAGTCATACAATAATAAAAAAATATTTTTTTAGATATTACAAAGATACACCAAATATTTTGAAAAATCAAATCTCAGAGTCACGAGTCGAAGGGGTTTAATATAATGTTTTGTTATGATGAGGTTTCTGACGATAGAAAATCCACGAATGTTGTAGATAAAAAAACATTTAATAATATTTAGATTCACTTTTTTAAAATATTTTTTTATCTTATTTATAGTTATGATTTTTATTTTATTATAATTACTTTCTCTTTTTTCTTATATCACTTTTCGTGCACGGGATATTATACTGATGAGATGAGTCAGCAAACAGTTCCATGCGGCAAGATTTGAATTTTCGATTTACCTCAAGAAAAAGGACAGCACAGTGGGCATTTCAGAAACCGAAAGAAAAAAAGAGAAATTTAAACACTGTAATAAATACGGATTTATTTAATATTATAATTATTATTTTTTTGTATTTGACAATCCAATTCCTCTTTCTTAGGGCGGGAAGCTGAAAAATTCTCAATGTTCATGTATGTTAGGGTTTGTAAATCCAGTAAAAGCTCATCAATTTCAAATTTTTTGTTCATGTCTACCAATCCCGACTTTTGAAAATCCTGGAGAAAGTGAGAAAAACGAGTAAAAATTTACTGAAAAAATGGCCCTTCGGAAGGGTTCGAGGGTATGGTTGGAAGACAAGGATTCAGCTTGGGTTGAAGCTGAGGTTTTTGGGTTTATCGGCAAACAAGTTCAAGTTCTGACTTTATCCGGAAAGAAGGTGAATTTCCCCCTATTTTTCTCACAACCCATTGTAGTTGAGTTCATGCTGCAACTTCTTTTTAGCTCAATTTTTGTAATTGATACTACCCTATGCATAATTTTTCCTGGTCATCCTGACATAGTGTCGTTTCTATGCTATATATATATATATATATATTTTTATATTTTTTTTTTTTTCTTTTTTTAAATTTTTCTGTATTTGAAATTTAGTTGCTGCTTAACGAGCTGCTGAATTTTGCTTTTGGTGTAGGTGTTGACGGTGCCGGAAAAATTGCAGCCACGCGATGGGGAGTCCGACCTTGGGGGAGTGGATGATATGACCAAATTGACTTACTTGAATGAGCCTGGTGTGCTTGATAATCTTCGGAGACGATATGGCCTTAATGAAATATATGTGAGTAAATCAAAATTTGAAAATATTTTTGGAATCTCTTGAGAGGATTGTTGAAATTGCTTGTATATTGGATATGGCACATATTAGTAAAAAATTAAAAGTCATAGTGTTTTGTTTTACCCATTCATATTACTTTTCAGGAAACTTTACTATGGAACTTACTCCAGCTACAATTTGTTGTATACATAGGATTATTACCTTGACTGTTCTTTCTGTATCTCCTTCTATTTTCTTTAAATATTATCACTTTTTTCGTTGGTCATGTATTCTTGTACTTTATTCTTATACCCCAAAAAATCTGTGCTGTTGAAGTGGGTAAAAGGTAAACTGTTAAAGGGTTGCCCATAATACATGTTTTGACTTATTGTTTCATGATAATTTTTGTTGAATTCTTGATGTTGAGTTTTATTAAAATCCCAGTAAGTCTAAGCAGGTTGACTAGCATTGTAGAAGGCATTTTAGCTATGTAATCTATTATATATTTTTTTTAATCTTCATTCTTTTTGTGGGCCTTGCTTGTGCATCTTCATTCTTGTTGATATACAATTTATGCCCATTCCAGACATACACGGGAAGTATCTTGATTGCAGTTAACCCATTTACCAAGCTTCCCCATCTATATAATATGCACATGATGGAGCAGTATAAGGGGGCTCCATTTGGTGAACTGAGCCCCCATGTCTTTGCCGTGGCTGATGCATCTTACAGGTTTGTCTGTTGTGAAGTTTTATGCTGCGATCGAATTCCAATTTGCTAAGTTTATAATCTGGTGAGTGTTGGTTGATTTTTAATGGCACAGAGCAATGATGAGTGAAGGGCGCAGTCAATCCATTCTGGTCAGTGGTGAAAGTGGAGCTGGAAAAACCGAGACTACAAAGTTGATTATGCAATATCTTACGTATGTGGGTGGCCGTGCTGCTGAAGACGACAGATCAGTTGAACAGCAAGTTTTGGAGGTAGGTTTTGTCTCTCTTGATAGATGCTACTCTATTTATTCACGAGTTTTAGTTGATTTTGAAGTACATTGGGAAAAAACTTGCATTTGAAATCATCTTCGTTGTGTCTTTGGCTCTATCATGTGTTAGCATGGTGTTGTGAAGCATATAGGTGTTAGTCTTGGTCCTTGGTGACAGTTAGAATTATTAGTATTATAGTTGCTGCATAACTGTTGATAGGATATTTGGAACATGTGTGACAAAATGATGGAATTTCTAACTAACTGTTTCTCTAATTTAGTCAAACCCACTTCTGGAGGCATTTGGCAATGCCAGAACCGTTAGGAATGATAACTCAAGGTACTACATGAATTTCCTTAATTGGACTGCTTTTATTATTGCTGGCAGTACCTGGTCTAAGCTGTAAAATTACTTCCTGTACTTGCTCTGCAGTCGATTTGGGAAGTTTGTCGAGATCCAATTTGATGCAAATGGTAGAATTTCTGGAGCGGCAATCAGAACATACCTTCTTGAACGATCTCGTGTTGTTCAGATAACAGATCCTGAGAGAAACTACCACTGTTTCTACCAGTTGTGTGCTTCTGGCATGGTAGGTTACATTGAGGTGCATGTCAGTCCTAGTAAATGCAATATGCTTTCCAGTATTTTCATTAAGTATATATATGGTATGTTCCCTTTGATATTGCTATTAAAGAAGAGGATTTATGTATGTGGCAACCTTCTATGGTAGTGTTTGGAGTTTGGACAACATTTGGTTCCATCAGTCTTACCTAAACTGACAAAAGGTAAATTATGCTATTGAAGTCTGCGGTTCAAATTTATAGGTGAAAGTTAGATTTTAACTGTCTAATCTAGTTTTTTTTTTGGTAGTTCCTTTGTAGTTTTCATGCTTCATGCTTTTTTTTTTTCCTTTTATAAGTTTGTGAGATTTCCTATAGGTTAGTGGCCACATTCTCGGACCAGCTGATGGAAATCATGTGTTTTACCCTGTGATTTTGTAATTTTGTTGGACTCAACCTCTAGGTTTTGTAGCTAAGATGCTATTCTCTTATTCAGGATGCGGAGACTTACAAGCTAGGTCATCCTAGAAACTTCCATTATTTGAATCAGAGTAAGACTTATGAACTAGATGGAGTAAGCAATGGTGAAGAGTACGTTAAAACAAGAAGGGCGATGGATATTGTTGGGATTAGTGATGATGAACAGGTTTGGGTTAATAGCTTAATGTGTTTTTGGTTCTTTCCACTATCTGGACTCTCATTTCTTTGTTCGTCTTTTGATGGTTCATCAGGAAGCGATATTTCGAACCTTGGCTGGTATTTTACATCTTGGAAATGTAGAGTTTTCTCCAGGAAAAGAGCATGATTCATCAGTTATCAAGGATCAGAAATCTAATTTTCATTTGCAGATGGCCGCCGATCTCTTTCGGTGTGTTAATATTGTATATCTTGTACTAAGTAGCTAATTGATTCGTACCTGATCTGATACTTATGTTCTGTGACATAAGGTTTTGCTCAAANTGTTTATATGATGTAGGTTGTGTTTGAATTGAAAGATTTGCAGTCTACTTTTTCTTAGTAATATTTCTGGTTTGTTGTAATAAGAATTTGTGAAGACTTGAGACCAATTAAAAGTTAAGTTTGTTTTTCTCAATTGTTTCTGATGGATATTATATATATATATATATATATATATATACTTTAGTGTATGTGTGCATGCGGGTGTGGAAAAGGTATGGTCTTTGCCTGTGAAACATGTGTAGTAGGAGTGGAGTGTCAAATGGCTGTAGAGTGTAGCGTGTGTGTGAGTGCTAGTGTGAAACGTGTAGTGTGTTTATGGAACCTCTCTAGATGTCCAATGTATGCGAATAAGTAGAGTATGCTTGTGTGTTTGAAATGTTTTTAGTGTGTTATGTGCGTGCGTGAGTTTGACTGCTCTATTTGTTTTTTCTATGTTTGTTGAACGCGTGTAGTTTGCGCTTTTTGTGTGTACTTTGAGATATGATGTGTGGTGTGTGTGATTTGTGGAATCATCACTCGAGATTCTTTTGGTTGATCTTATGTTGGATGTCAAAGGCTTCCCTCTAAAATCCCTCAATCTGAACACATCCTTAGAATTAATTAGTCATTAAATTCTCTATTTGATAGTCTCTGTTGTTGCATCACTTTTATTTTCTTGACTGTTTTGTAACTTTGAGTTATTCTCCTAATCAGGTGTGATGTTAGTCTTTTGCTGGCCACACTAACGACCCGTTCAATTCAAACTCATGAGGGGATAATTGTCAAAGCTCTTGATTGTGGTGCTGCTGTAGCTGGACGGGATACTTTGGCTAAAACTGTTTATGCTCGGCTGTTTGACTGGTCCGCTGATTCTCTTTTTTCTTTTGTACATCCTTTGATGCACTTCAGGCTATTTGGTTAAACAAATAATGTGAAGGTAATCCTAGATGATATTACTGTTTCAGGCTAGTTGAGAAGATTAACAGATCAGTTGGACAAGATCGCGATTCTAAGATACAAATTGGAGTCCTTGACATATACGGATTTGAATGCTTTAAGTTGAATAGGTAAATTATCAATGCATTGACATTTTATATCCCATTTTATATTTCATTTCATTATCAATTTCTTCGAGGTAGAAGTATATAGTTATTAATACACCTGAACTCACTTATTTTCAGTAACTAAAGTGCAAATTTATATGTATTTTGGAATTACTGGTGAAATTTTATTCATTTATTATTTGGTGTGTGTGACATATCGCCTTAAATGTGTTTCTGGAAATTTATTGCTTTGTTCTACCTACATTAATCAGTTTTGAGCAATTCTGCATCAATTTCGCAAACGAGAAGCTTCAACAGCATTTTAATGAGGTAATTTGATATTTGTGATTCTATTTCTAGTAAAATGTAGTTCTTGTGTACTGGTTCCTTAATATGCACTTTTTTCGTGGGACTTGTTATGCAGCATGTGTTTAAGATGGAGCAGGAGGAATATCAAAGAGAAGAAATCAATTGGAGCTACATTGAGTTTATTGACAACCAAGATGTTTTGGATCTGATAGAGAAGGTCTTCTCTTTCACTCTTGTCTGTGATGTTATCTGATAAAATGGTTATAAACAGCCTAAACTGTAGGTAAAATTGGAAATTTGCAGTTCATTTGCTCAACTGTGGTATTGATTGGCAGGGATCAAAACTGGACATTTTTCATATCAGAAGCAATATAATTTTAGTTTGCAATGATATAAAGGTTCTTGGATATGTGCCCACTTCTATTAGTAAAATTAGGAACAATGCTGCCCTCTTTGCCGGATGAATTTACTATTGGAAATGATACTGTGGGTGGGCTGACAACATGGAACCAAAATAAGACCAAACAAATGGTAGTTTTATATATGAACCTTTTTTTTTTCCTTCAAAGAGAAAGAAATGGTTGATGGAATTAATCAAATTGGAGAACTGAAAAAAGAATAGTAACTTTGATTCAATATTTAAAATGGCAGTATTAGTTACTAAAGTTTCAGTCTGGTTTTGGTTTTTGGTTATGTGGTCACTATTTGATGTTTTGATTAATTTTCATTGAATCTAATGCGGTCAATATAGGTTTTGATAGCTTAGATAAAATAAATGCTGGACATTGGGAGATCAATGTCTTCTTACTCCTTGCAATCTCATATTAATTCTGAGTAAGAATTTTTCGGAGAATTAACAATAATTGGGATAGGCAATATCCCCCCACCCCTCCTTTTTTTTTCTTTTTTTTTTCTTCCTTTTATTGATTTTTTTTTTTTATATGTGGCACGATGATGACCGATTTCAATTTGAACTATCTTTTGCAGAGACCCATAGGTATAATTGCTCTTCTGGATGAAGCTTGGTATGTTCGATGTTATATCCTATTATTTCATGTTTTTTATTGGTTATTACTTATCCTTGCTCCCTCTATCATTTTCCTGCAGCATGTTTCCCAAATCAACTCATGAAACATTTTCAAACAAGCTATTCCGAAATTTCCACTCCCACCGGCGATTAGAGAAAGCCAAATTTTCTGAAACAGATTTTATTATTTCTCACTATGCTGGCAAGGTACTTTCTATGCCATGGTCTTTGCTTCTTAGTAACCCAGTGTCCGAACAATAATTTACCACTTATTTCTTTCTCGTTTGTTCCTCCCAGGTGAGCTATCAGACAGAGACATTCTTAGACAAAAACCGTGATTATGTTGTGGTTGAACATTGCAATTTATTAGCTTCTTCCACATGCCATTTCATATCTGGCCTCTTTCCTCCTTTACCTGAAGAATCAGCTCGGTCATCCTACAAGTTCTCATCAGTGGCCTCTCGGTTTAAGGTACTAAAGTTTCTCTACCTCAGCAACCTTTTCCTTTTGACATTCTCTGGAACTCGTGCGAGGGATTTTACTATCTAGTTATTGCATTAGCTGTCATCTGAGCAAACTGAAGGTTGAACTGCATTACATTGATCTCTTTGTATGGCTGCAGCATCATGAACTACTTTTGCTTCTGAAATTTAATACTGTAAAAGAAAATGGAGCTTTTTGTATTTGGTTTCTTACTTGCAAATAGACTTTTGTCTTTTTGATACACTGTGCAGAATCTGCCATGAATATCAATCAGAATGTTATTGATTTCGGAAATGGCATGGTGATTGTAGCTAGTCTGTCGTGTGTTTTCTCTATTTTCATGTGTTGTTCATTTTGCAATGGTCTGAATTGCAATTTTTCACTGGTATGGTCAAGGATATTTCACCTCTTCAGTAGAATTCAATATTTTGCTCAAGCAATCATCTTGATCATGTTCGTCTTTGTAAATTTGTCTTATGTTGACAACTTATCTTCATGACATCATGTATTACCATCATGACGACTTCTCACTTGTTCATAAGTTGTCTTTGCTTGCAGCAACAACTTCAAGCTCTCATGGAAACCCTCAGCTCAACAGAGCCTCACTATGTTCGATGTGTGAAGCCAAACTCATTAAATAAGCCTCACAGGTTTGAGACACCAAGCATCCTACACCAGTTGCGTTGTGGGGTCAGTATTATCCAACTACTATCCAAACTGAAACGAGCCTGTAGTTTTTGGTTTAATAGTCTCTTCATCTAAAACTGCTATTTATAGTGTAGTCTCTAGTCTATCAATCTTCATTAATTCGTATTGGACATGAATGGATGTCAACATTTGTGATTAGACTCAACTCTTCAAATGATACACTTTAAGATCAAAAGATTAAACTTCTTCCCATGATTTTACATCTTCAACAAAGGTAACAATACTGCGTGATTGTTAAGCTTAATTAGTAAATCAATGGCTGTGCCTTCTGTTTTTGGAAAGTTTCTGTGGGGTGAGCTTCAGGAAAAGGAACATGTTAGATGATGTGCTGAATATACTGTTGTCTTGATTAGCTATTATTTCTTTTCCTTTTTCTTTCCCCATTTGAAGTTGTAATAATTGTGTATTATGTAATCTTCCTGCAGGGTGTCTTAGAAGCGGTTCGTATAAGTTTGGCAGGCTATCCCACAAGGAAGACTTACCATGAGTTTGTCGATCGTTTTGGGATAATAGCCTTGGATGTTTTAGATACAAGGTACAGTTGAAGAACCCTAATTTTTTTCTAATGTCAAAGGTTTCAGAATTTCAAACGAGTATCTGATTTTTAGTTGTGTTTCTTGTCTCTCTATTCTCTTAGTTCTTGTGGCAGATCCAACTGTCAAATTTAATCTACTTACTAGGGCTCATTGGCTTTCTTTAATGTTTTTCAGTTATGACGACAAAACTATGACTGAGATAATACTGCAGAGATTAAACTTAGAGAACTTTCAGGTCTGTTATTTCATAATTGCAAATGTTTTAGATTGACATCTATTATCCATTGTACACTTGTCACATTTTCACTGTTGGCTCATTGCCTCATTTTGCTGTAAATATTTAGTCACCATATATTATTTGTCTTTTGCAGCTAGGAAAGAATAAAGTCTTCCTAAGGGCAGGTCAGATTGCTATATTAGATTCCCGTCGAGCTGAGGTTTTGGATTCTGCAGCCAAGCGAATTCAGGGTCGTTTGCGGACATTTGTTGCCCGCAAGGACTTCGTTACAAGACGCTTTGCTACATTGTCTCTACAAGCATGTTGTAGAGGTATTATTTCCATGCTTGAGTTAATAGCTGCTTATTTCCATGTTGTAGAGGTTCTCATATATACTGTATAAACGCACTATTGACTCATAGATTCTTTGTGCTCAAGCATTAGCTTTGCTCAAAGAACCCGTTGTATTGGTTATTAACGAATTTGTCTAGGGGCAAGATACATGACATTGATCATTGATATTTGTGACTTTTAATATGTTGGGTGCAGAGAATCTATTCTCTAGGCATCATAAAGGCTTGTTCGATAAGTGTGCGGTCTAACTCTTTTCAATTATTATAGTTTAATACTTAGTACGAGGAACTTCTGTTCCTGTACATCTGTTATTTATATGCAAATAAGTATCTTCATCAAGGCCTCCCCTGTTATTGCTAAAAGTTTCTGAGTAATCTTTCTGGCAGTTGGTAAAAGCTAAATGAGTACGTGTTGCTAATCATTTTATTTGTCCATATGGATTCTTTGAGAAAGTTTGGTTTGGCTTGACCTTTAGTGGATTTTAAATTATATTTATGCTACTCTTGTTTCTGGCAGGATATCTAGCAAGAAATAAATTTGCTGCCATGCGTGAGACAGCTGCTGTCGTTGTAATGCAGACTTATTTCCGGCGTTGGTTCATCTTGCGTGCATATAAGCAACTTCATTTGGCTGCGGTTCTTATTCAATCTTGTATCCATGGTTTCTCAACTCGCCGGATGTTTTCATGTAGAAAAGAAGAAAAAGCTGCCACTGTTATCCAGGTGAATATATCTTGTTAATTGTTTTTGTAGCTTTTTTACTGTATTTTATATGCATATTGAAGATTCCTCTGTAACATTTTTGTAACTATGTATTTGGGTTTATCATGCTAATCAATAAATTGTCTCTTGATTCAGGCTCGTTGGAGGATGTTCAAAGTCCGCTCTTTGTATCGTAATCGTCAAAATAATATTATTGCTATACAATGTCTGTGGAGGCAAAAGTTGGCGAAAAGAGAACTTCGGAAGCTTAAGAAGGTAAACATTGAGTTGTAGTTCAAACTTCCAGCACTGTTATTTGAATTTGGCTGGCAACAGCACATATTTAGGAAATGTGTGCTCATTTCCTTACAAATATTCACCTTGTCTTTTCCTAGTTAAATACCTTTTTTTCCAATTTTACGTAGGAGGCTAATGAGGCTGGTGCATTGCGTTTAGCAAAGACCAAGCTTGAAAAGCAACTGGAGGATCTTACTTGGCGACTACATCTGGAGAAAAAAATACGGGTAATAATTTATGTATAACAGTATGTGCGCGAGTGTATGAATTGTTTTTTTTTTAAGAATAAATTATAGAACTGATGACATCCTATGGTGGGCATCTTTGATCTAATTCCCAGCTTTTGAGTAATTGAACGAAATAAGTTTTCCTTTGGTTTTTTGGCTGCGAGGATCCGTGTTAGATTTCTGGCCGGAGATGCTTAACAGTTTTCACGTAGCAATCATCCCTCTCATATTTATTTCTTCTTATCAGTCGTTTTATTTTTACTTATTGGGTTTGGGAATGATGGTGATGATCCCTCATGTATCTGCATTCTTGTTTTCACCTGTAAGGGGTAGCATATGAAAAAAGTTGGCCCTCAATTAGTGTTGATCTTTGCATCCTGTTTGATATGCCTATTTCTGTAGCTTTGTTAAATGGGGGATTTGTGGTGCAGGTGTCCAATGAGGAGGCTAAATTAGTTGAAATCTCAAAACTTCAGAAAACGGTGGAGTCTCTAACATTGGAACTGGAGGCAGCCAGACTTGCCACCCTTAACGAGTTCAATAAGAACAGAGGGCTAGAAAGACAACTTGAAATATCAGCCAAGGAAAAATCTGGTTTAGAAAGAGATGTTATTTCTTTGGCTGAACTGAGAAATGAAAACACACTGTTAAAGGTAATATTGTGGGAGCTATTGTTCGTCCCCTTTCATATCCGTACTTTTCTTCACGTTAACTTCAATAAATTGCTTTTACAGAGTTCCCTTAATGCTTTGGAAGAAAAAAATAAGATGCTGGAGTCTGAACTTGCCCAAACTAAAGAAGATGCAAGCAATACCATGACTAAGTTGAGGGATGTTGAAAAGACTTGTTTGCAGTACCAATTGAATTTGCGAAGGTATTGTTTAAAAATGAGGTTGAGCATGCAAAGATTCAAAACTGCCCTGGCACAATAAATAAATTAGTAAAATTGCAGATACAATTTGCTGTACCTAATTTTTTTCCTGCATCAGTTTGGAAGAGAAGCTGTCAAATCTAGAGAAGGAGAATCATATCTTGCGACAGAAGACATTGGATTTAACTCCAAGGACCAGTCGAGCTGGGTTTGTCAAACCTTTCCTTGAGGTAAGCAGTTCTTAACTAGCTTTCTTCTTGATGGCCGTCTTACCAAAATATTACGCTCGTTCAACTTTCAATCATATGAATTTCTTATCTAACCTAGCATCACATATCAGAAACTCCCGCAATACTACTGTTGCTGACAATTCACACTTTCCTTTTGAAGCAGAAATTTTCTGGTCCACTTGCTCTTTCTTCTGCTGATCAGAAATCTTATGTAAGTTGCGGTCTGTTGGATTTTATAAGTTGCTACTCATTTATATATAGATATATATATTAAATCTGGATACCTATATTTGTGGTATGACTAACTTCTTTTGATTGCTGCAGGAATCACCTACTCCATCCAAATTAATTACACCAATATCACAAGGGTTTTCCGATTCCCGCAGAACAAAGTCGGGGGTCGATAGGCATCAGGTCTTTCTTTTACTTTTGTTAATTGGTATTAATGCATACAAGTGAAAGGTAGCTTGTAAATGTGCCTTTGTAAAATTGTAGTTTATGTGCGAATTTCGCTTTTTAAACAATATTATTGGTTGCAGGGTAATTTTGAAGTCATTTCACGTTGCATTAAAGAGAATTTGGGCTTCAAAGATGCAAAGCCAGTGGCTGCTTGTGTTATCTACAAATGCCTCGTTCATTGGCATGCCTTTGAATCGGAAAGGACTGCTATATTTGACTTTGTTATTGAGAGCATCAATGGTGTTCTAAAGGTGGTCCTTTCCCATTATTCATAAACTTACTTATTTGACCCCGACCCTTGCGATGGACAGTTTGTAACATGAAAACGTTCAAATCTTGGCCCGGAACATTTGGTGGGAAAATTGTTGCCAAAAATAGCTAGGTTGTGTTTGGCAGTTATATAGACATTGATAATTATATGAAATTCAAAATTTGATCAAATATTTGTTGCTTCTAGTGCTTTTATTAATATCTAGAGAGTAATTCATGAGTTTCTTTTGACAAATAACTATATCTAGCGAGTAAATCATGAGCTTCTTTCAACAAATAACTAACTCCATGGTAATTGAGGATGTCCATGAATATTAACTTCGTTAGAAGTTGTGGTTGTTATACCTAGTACTTAATGTTGGTATCTATTTGATCAATACAATGCTTGCTTCAGGATGGTGATGAGGATGCTACTTTGCCTTATTGGTTGTCTAACACGTCTGCGCTTTTGTGCCTTCTCCAAAGAAATCTGCGGAGCAATGGGTTCTTGACCGCTGGTTCTCAGCGTTCAGTGGCGTCCACAGGGATTAACGGGAAACTTGTGCAAGTAAGTTAGAAATGATCCATTCTTTTGCTCAAGCGTGTTTGTATACAGATATATCCGCTCGAAATGAGTTTTTTGGTTAATCATGGTTAATTTTGAAAAAAAGTGGTATGTTAGTGGGATTTTGAATTTATATTAAAATAATATTTAAAATAAAATATTTGAAGTTGATTTGATGTAAAAGTAGGAGAGAGATGATATGAAGTGATGATTAGATAAAATTATGTGAGTAGATGAATAGTGAATTAAAGTTGATGTGATATGTAAGAATGATTGGTTGATATTATTTAATTATATTGATAATATTGAGGATACTAGGTTTGGTTAGCGTTGAGTTATATTTTGAATATGAATTGAGTACGGATTGAATTATTTCTATACAAACACATCAGTATCTGAATTTAGGATTCTGTTTCTGGATAATGTGACAATGGTTTTTATTCTCTTCTCTCCCCTTGGGTGTCTCCTCTTCTTTTTTCTTTCTGATTGTTTTTTCCCAAATTAAATTACACTGTGTTATCTTATTATTCCTTTCAATATCTATTTGATGTCATTGTTTATTTTCCCATCTCTTGCGTGTTCATATAGGCAAACGAAAATAAAACTATAATACACAAGAAATATGTGGAGGTGGATTTCGTAGCGTTGATTGTAATAACTAATAAGTGTTTATTGTTGTACATCCATATTTGATTACTAGTGAAGTATGCAGAATGTCTACACTTGATTAATTTGAAACTGAGATAAAATTACCCTTTTTTGGGCTTTTTAGGGCCCGAAGTCGTCTTTCAAATATCGTGGTTTGGATGATGGTTTATCTCAAAGTGAAGCTAAATACCCGGCCCTGTTATTCAAGCAGCAGTTGACTGCTAGTGTAGAGAAAATATTTGGTTGGATCAGAGATAATTTAAAGAAAGAAATATCTCCATTGTTGGGACAATGCATTCAGGTACATTTTGACGTCCGCAATCTTCGTTTTCACCCTTGCAAATAATCTATGGATTAAATGGACTGTGTGCTATGACCTTCTATATTTCATTATTATAATATCTGAAGATATTATTATAAATATTTCATTACCTTGGGTTATAGTATCTGAAGATATTCAGTCACAGTACTATTAATATCTTCTACTTGTATCTTCTTCCAATTTGGGTTTCAATAATTACATCAAACATTGCTGTAATTATTATAATTATTTAATTACTTTTATTTTATTGATAAGGCACCGAAAAACCAGAGAGTTCATGGTGGGAAGTCATCTAGATCACCCACTGGTGCCCCCCAGCAATCACCGAGCAGTGAGTGGGATAGCATCATCAAGTTCTTGGATTCATTCATGAGTCGTTTAAGGGGAAATTACGTATGCCACTTTCTTCTGTATTTTGTTTTTCTCACTTTGTTTTCCATATACATTTTTTAATTCATCTTGGATTTCCAGGTTCCTTCATTTTTCATCAGGAAGCTCACAACACAGGTCTTCTCCTTCATCAATATACAATTGTTTAACAGGTAATTTATTGTGATCCTACTCTAAATTATTCCATGTAAAAAGAAAAGAAAAACCTTTGACTGAAATAATTGGGCAGTCTTTTGCTTCGTCGTGAATGCTGCACGTTTTCAAATGGTGAATACGTTAAATCTGGTCTGGCTGAGCTGGAAAAATGGATAGTCAATGCAACAGAGGAGGTATTATTATTATTATTATTATTATTATTATTATTATTATTATTATTATTATTATTATTATTATTATTATTATACTCTGGAACAAATTAAACTTTTTTCATGTTCAGAGTCTTAATCAATTACTTGATGCAGTTTGCAGGAACCTCTTGGCATGAGCTAAATTACATTAGACAAGCGGTTGGATTTTTGGTATATCTTATAGCTTTGACTTCCTTTTTAATTTTTATGCTGTCGATGATCCAAAATGTAGTAGCTGATGTATTTTGTTTTCAAATTCAGGTCATACATCAAAAGAGGAAGAAATCTTTAGAAGAGATAAGACAGGATCTCTGTCCGGTGTGGTTTCTGTTAAACATATGAATGTGCAATTACCTATTCATGGATGGCTTTATTGGATTTACTTGACGTAATTTTTCCCAATATAATATATTTGGCAGAAATTGACTGTAAGGCAAATCTACCGGATAAGCACAATGTACTGGGATGATAAGTATGGGACTCAGAGTGTGTCAAATGAGGTAATAAGTGGTTTGCTGATATATAAATAATCTTTGATGTCGAGTCGACATAGCTTTCCTTTAGTTCAAAGGTAGTGAATTAAATTCCTGTTTTATGGGTTTTTGGCAGGTTGTGTCTCAGATGAGGGAGATTGTAAATAAGGACTCCCAGAATTTATCGTCATCAAATTCATTCTTATTGGATGATGACCTTAGGTAAAAATTATTTGCAGGTGCTCTATTAGAAATATCTGATAAACCTAGCAAAGGAATGAGTTGCTAATTGTAGCTTCAACTTTCTGAACTCACTTCATGAATAAATCTTTGACTTTTGAGATGATATTTCTTCGTACTGTGGCTGAGGTTTCTTAAGATAATTCTATAGACTGAATATTTAATGAGAGCATTGTTTTTATACAACTAAGGAAATGGAAAAATATTAACAATACAAAATTGAAATGAAACACTAACTCGAATTCAGACTGCATGGCATTTACTGCCTTTTTATATTTTCATTCATATGACTCGGGCATCCTGTTAAAAAAAAAAATCTATATATTCGTTTTCGCAGCATTCCCTTCTCCACTGAAGATGTATATATGGCAATCCCTGCAATAGACCCTTCAGATATGGACCTTCCTCCATTCTTCTCTGAATATCCATCTGCACAGCAACTGCTGCAGAATTTGAAGTAAACACTCGGGCTCGTTTACTTTTAGTGGAATAGCTCTTAAATATCAGAAAAAAAATCCCCGCTTCACGTAAGTTTGCCTTTTCTAATGCGTTCAAAGTTGTACTGGGTATAAACCATAAAAAGGCGCTAATCTTGCTTTTGCCTGTGAGTCGAGATGAAGGGTATGTGATTGGAAAATGTAGGCCATTTGCAAAATCGAAGTCTGTTTGACTTCAGATGGATCGAAAATGTAACTTGTAGTGAAATTCGTTCTGTCCAATTGCAGGTATTAGATTCACACGAGGATTAGGGATTGTGCAGATGGGGAATTGTACAAAATTGAACTTTCTCAAAAGGCCAAGTGTAATTTTGTTAAGCTTTTGCTCTTTTGGGTGTGTACTATACAGTCCTAGTTAATGCAAATGTATGAGTATGATGTATCTGTCATATATATCATGTTAGGGAACTATTTTTTTCATCGCCTTTTTATCTGATTCTACAATTTCATGACTAGGTGATATGTTTAGTAGGTAAGCTCAAATTTCTATAGTTGTATATAATCTTCCTGAAAATTAAATGTTGATACATTTTTTAGTTCTCTGAGATGCTTATGTCGTACAATTATTCTGAATGCTAAAGTTTATAATCTCTGCGAAAAAAAATTAATCAATCGTAATCAGATGAATTTCTTTTATAATGTAGAGTCACGCTACACGACCAGAATAATTTACAAATTGAGTTATTAAGGAAATAATCAATTATCCTCATTATATAATATTATCAAAATTAATATTTAAACACGATAGTGTGGGTAATGCCAACACGACAAGGTACACACTAGTAGAATTGGGGAGCTCTAGTTCGCAAATAAGCCAAAGAAAATGATCTCAAGTTCGAAAAATCTTCCCTTAGAAGATGGTGACGGCTCACATAATGATCCATTTCCCGAGCTTGATTTTTCTCTATGTTTGCCACTTTGAGAGCTCTCATTTCCGTTGCCGACAGAAATTATTTTCAAATTAACTTTCTAAAAAACTATGTTGTCGTGCTAAAAAAATAATAATAACTTTTTAAAAAGAAATGCAGTATTAATATTAAAGTTGGTAGATCATGCTAAAAATAATTACAAAAAATAAATGCAGTGTTAATATTAAAATTAATAGTATTTTATATTCGTGCAGCATGAATATAATTTTAATAATAATATCACATCATCAATTTGTTCCCATCACAACTAATTCATATTCATAAGAACGTGTGCATATTTTATGTTCTTATTTTAAAATATTTTGAGTTAAAAAAATATTATATATTATTATCAAATTGTCTTTAATTTTGTCAAGTTTTTCAGTTATTCTCATCAAATTCATCTTTATAATTAGGTTGTCTAAAAGTAACTAGAATATTATATATTATTCTCAAATTATTTATATTTTGTCAAGCTTTTATATTATTCATCCTTTCCATTCATATTCATTCTAAATAAAAATGAAAATATGTAACAATATATAAATAACAAAATTTTATGTTATTATCGTTACCTCTTCTTTAGATTTAGGTGGTTTAAAAATATATAAATATCATACATTATCTTTAAATTGTAGTAAATTTGCAGTTAATCAGTTTAGTATACAATGGTCGTAAATCACTTTAGTATCAACTTTGGAAAAAGTTTTAATATGTGTTGATAGATGGAATACTTGTGAAAATATTGTGATATGTTTTTATTTTCGAGAACTCCAATTTCGTAACTCCAACTTTTAAATGATAGATAGTAACTATTGTGATATGTTTTTATTTTCGACAAAATCAAATATATGAAATATATGGTAGAAAAATTAGAAATATGACCGAAAATTTCCAGCTAGCCAGTACGACCGAAAATTNTTTTTAAATTGACCCTAGTTAACAAAAAAAATAAAAATAAAAAAAAAATAAATAAATAAAAAAACTGATCTTTGATACTTTAACATTTAAATAAAAACCTAAGGTATAGGATTATGGTTCACTATGAAAAAGGTAGATAAATCCGTATATTTCCTACAAAACAATATCCTAATACTGTTGTTAGGTCTCTACATTGTATTTTTTTTCTCTCTGCTATGGTTTTTAGTGCTGTAGAGTTGTAATCTGGTTAAGGATGTTGGTCATTTGTGTCTTGAGTCTGTTATGATAGGGGTAAAGGTCCGGTTGTCTGTAACTGCTTTACCCTTTTCAGTTGCTCAGTTTAGTAGCTGTTTGTGTCTCTAGCCCACATTTCTGTGGTGCTCCCACTGTCCGGCTGTTGTGTTTGTAAGACATTACCTTTCTTATGTTTAATGAGTAAAATCTATCGTTGGAAAAAAAAATTCAACAGAGTAACCAGAATAAAATATTGAAATAGATTTAATCATAAAAAAAAAAGAACCATAAAAATATAAGGGACATGATCTACCTATATTCGACTATCTAAAGCCGGTCTGTATAACCTCTCTACAACAACTAGATGAATACTACTAAGGATCGAATATAAATATATCATCTAAACCATTCGGTCAAGACGACTCACAAGCCGAAGGCGTACAGTCAACACATTCTCATGATACTCGCCACATTTTTCCCGATTTCTTCTTTTGTTTGCTCACAGATTGGAATTTCGCCAATGTACATGTCGAAAAAGGCCCCTATAGACAAATATAGATAGAAATGTTAAA